TAAAAGTCTAGGAACCAGAATGAGTGATAGGTATACCTTTGTCGTCTCAAATATAAACTTGCTCATGACCAGCGTTTCAGGACTTTGATTTCTTTGAATTAGTCATTGTTTTTGAGCTTTCTCCATATAAGAACCATATAGGAGTTTAGAAATGTAGGCACGAAGAGCAAATGAGAATTTGTTCCATAGCCTTATTTCATGCTAGGGAACAAGTCCACATCCTTTTAATTTATTTCCTTTTACATGAAATTCCTTTATGGTTGAAGTTATTGGAAATTGGATATTATCCCGATTTGTATTTTGTAATTTCAGGGTTTTGAGAAATTATTTGAATTGTTAGTGCGTTGGATGCTTCTTATGGGTTGAGAATTATGATCATTCCGAGGCTTAGATGAGAGAATAAATACATGTTTAGAAACATAGACATGAGAGTTTGATTCACTAAGGCGGTGTTGGAAGAATTCCAGTTGAAGAATTGTAGGCTTGGAACGGTGTTGAAGGCGAGATCTTCTTACTGAATCGTTCAATGAATGCTCTCATACTTAAAAGCAAGGCCTGAAGTCATCAATTATAGTAGAACCAAGCCGGAATTGGATCACATCAACGAATGATTCATACTCAATCGGCAAGCCATGAAGAGTAACAAAAATGAATTAAGAATCTTAACCAGCGTTGGCCAGTGTTGGAGCAATATTAGAAAATATGAAAAATATAAAAGAATTTCAATGATAATAATCATAAAAAATTCAAACATCAATTTATATATTGAGATTAAATTAAACAACTAGAGAGAAAGCTTAGAATAAACTGACAAACTTGGAGATTGAGACTTTGCATAAATGCAATTGTCCTAAGATAGAATTTTCGCCCCTACTCCTTGTGCTTGTAGGGTTCGATAGGCTCATCTCCCAGGATTCAAAAGAACCAATCAAAAACATTCTTTTCTGGACTCTGGCGAACTTTATATATTCCTACTCTCAAAAATCACGACTCGGGAATTTTTACACACGAATTTTGAGAAAACAAAGTGGGAAACCCTATTCTCGAGAGAAACATTTATATATTCCGTACTCTCAAGACACGACTCGGAATTTACACACAAATCATTGAGAAACAAAGTGGCGAAAACCCTATTTCTCGGAGTAAAAATTAACTTCTAATTTTCTATATGTAATACCAATGATTTCATGGGTTATATAGAATCCAACTTCTACTTATTAAAGAGATGTAACTTTCATCTATAAGTATACATCACTTATAAAGGGAATATCACTTAAACAACATAACTTTTCTAAAAAATTTTGGTTAACAATATTTTTAAATTCCAATTATTAAAATTATAGTATTACAAAGATTTCATATATGAATAGTATAATTTTTCAAACACTACACCACATGAATTAAAAAGTTACAATTTAAGAGTACAGCGGACAAGAGAATGCATCGGGAGAGGTTTTTTTTGGACTTTTGAAACCTACCTTCATATGTTTTGTGTAACATGAATATATAAATCTGAACTGTTTACCGAAATAGAAACCGCAGTAAGATAAGCTAACCCCACACATCACTTAATCCTAATAATACGGTCATACGTTGTGTTCTATTTCTGTCCTGAACAAACTTCCCGGAATTCATATAGAGCTAATAAAATTTTCCATACTCAAGAACGACCCATTCTTCTTTCTTAGGATGACCGGATTAAAGAGTTGTCTAACTTACTTTAAGAGTCATTGTCATTAAGTATAAATATACAACCTAAAACATCTGCAGACAACACACTTCTTTCATCATAGGAATGAGGTATATAGTGTGTTAACTTCTTTGAATCATGCCCAACCAGTTTGCTTATTGAACTTAGACCATGGGATCTCCAATTAACTAAGTTAGGTTTCCCCTCGGCTGATTCATTAGTTATGTTGGCTTTAGCCTCATTCCCCTCAATGATCAACTTACTCTCTAGTCAAACATTTAATAATTGGATCCACTACTAGGTTGACTATATCTTTAATGATGTGCACAATCCATCTTATGAAATATTATTTCATACGAGAGTAGTTGTTTTCCAATATTAAGTCCTCAAAACATATGTTCGGACTTACTAATAAGTAATTTGCTGACACTTGGGCATGTTCCCCCACATTTAAGGTATTTAAAGTAGGGCTGGGCACGGGCCGGGCCGGGCCCATTTTTGAAGGGACCGGACCGGACCCGGAATTAAAGGAGACGGAATTAAAGGCGGGGCCGGGCCGGGCACTACAATTCTGAAAATAGGAACCGGACCTTACCCGGCCCGATTGAAACGGGCCGGTTCGGTCCGGGTACACGGGTCCTTATTTTTTTTTTTTTTTTTTTTTTATTTTTATTTTTGTTTTCTTCCTGTTTAAACATGTTTGCTGCACACAGATTGCAGTTTTTGCTGCACACATACAAACTGCACAAATTGCAGTTTTTGCTGCACACAGACAAACTGCAGATTGCAGTTTTTGCTGCACACATACGAACTGCACAGATTGCAGTTTTTGCTGCACACATACAAACACATACAAACTGCACAGATTGCAGTTTTTGCTGCACACATACAAACTGCACAGATTGTTGCACACATACAAACTGCACAGATTGCAGTTTTTGCTGCACACATACAAACACATACAAACTGCACAGATTGCAATTTTTGCTGCACACATACAAACTGCACAGATTGCAGTTTTTGCTGCACACATACAAACACATACAAACTGCACAGATTGCAGTTTTTGCTGCACACATACAAACTGCACAGATTGCAGTTTTTGCTGCACACAGACAAACTGCAGATTGCTGCACACAGACAAATTCCACAAATTTCACAGATTTCCACAGATTTCACAGATTCCACAAATTTCACAGATTCCACAAATTGCAGTTTGAAAAAACTGACAGATTCCACAAATTGCAGTTTGAAAAAACTGCACAGATTGCAGTTTGCATTTTGCAGTGCACAGATTGCACAGATTGAAAAAAAAATAGCACAGATTGCAGTTTGAAAAAAATAGCACAGAATACAGATTGCAGTTTGCACAGACACAGATTTCACAGATTGCAGTGCACACAGATTGCACAGATTGCACACATCCGCAATAAATTTCAAATTCCAACGCCCAAGTTCCGACAACAATCCTTATTGAATCTGTAAGCAAAAATACAATATAAACATGTCATTTTTAAAGTCCAACATCATATTATGCTCATTGAAATTTAAAGTTTATTCATTTGAGTTGAAAATATTACCGAAATTCCTTTTCCTTTATTCGTTCGAGTTGTTTGTGGAGCTTGAATTTCAGGATCACTTGGTGAGATGGTTGAACTTGTAGATATAGTATTTGCTCTTTTTCTTTTATATTCTACAACAAAGAACAAACGTTAATTGTAAACCAATTAATTTTATAAACCAAACTATAAAAAACAAAATAATTACCTTCTTCACACTCTTGATAAAATTCAAGCTCCGCACAACTTGCTTCATACTCAATCAATGCCAATTGGTTCACTTTTTATCCAGTTTCGGAGGCACATCAATGACTCCACTGTTTGAGGAAGGAGACATGATCTACAAGGGTGAATTAATCTCTTTCCTCCACTAAATGCACTCTCACTGGCAACTGTTGACACTTGAATTGGCAAGACATCTTTCGCTATCAAAGCAAGTGTGGGATATGTGCTCCTCCCTTTCAACTTCCACCATTTCAAAACGTCAAATTGTGAACCATGTTGTGCTTTCTCTACACTGTCAAGGAGATATCTATCCACCTCATGTGCAAGCGCAATATCCTCGGTGTCTTCTAGTTCTTTCTCCCAATCATCCATGATTTGACTAAATATCATTGGATTTTCTGTTGGCACACTAGAAGATGATTCTTTTACCCTTGAAGAAGAAGTGTCAAGAACTAAATCTTCTCTACCCTTTTGTTGTGTTTGTGAACCGAAAGCTTGGTAAGCATATTCATCACACATCGCCTTCAACAATGTCTTCACTAGATTACTTTTCTGTTCAATCTCTTCTTCAGAAAGTTGTAATTGCTTTCTACACAGGTGCATGTAGTGCCTCAATTTGAACCTTGGGTCTAAGACAAGGGCAACTACAAATATTTGATTAAGGGACTCAATTGAACCAAAATACTTTCGATATTTGGCTCTCATGTTGAATGCCATATCACGTAGCACCAACTCTACAGTTCTTCCAGTTTGCATATATTCAGGCAAAAAAAGCTTTTCAATCTCATTTTTCCACAACAATGACATCATGAACAGCTGTATTAGATGTCGGATAATTACTTGCACTAACTTTCAAAGTTATAAGATAGAAGGCCTTCAAAAATTCCACAAACATTTCTGCACTATCCCAATCTTCCTCCTTAGGTGGTCCAACCCTCCCTTTACCCGCCACTTCTTCTCCTTCATCATTAAACACCTTTTCACTGAAATAGGTGGTGTATATATTGGCTTCATCATCTTCGGTCATTCTTTCAAATGCTTTTTTAAACTTCAAGCAAGATTCTAGCATCATGTATGTGCTATTCCACCTAGTAGGCACATCCATAACAACTAGACCCCTACTATCCAACTTCTCATTCTCCACACATTTCTTGAAATAACTCAACCTTCGAGGACTTGATCTCACAAACCGCACGGCATTTCTAAGAGCATCCACAGTTGTATCTAATCTTTTCAACCCATGTTTCACTACCAAGTTGATAATATGAGCTAAGCACCTCACATGCATAAACTTGCCATTCATAATCATTTTACTATTAGGCCATTTTTGCATTTTACGAACAACATACTCAATTGCCACCTTATTAGCCGATGCATTGTCAACTGAGATACACATTACCTTTTCAATCCCCCACTCAACCAAACATTGCTCAATCATCTTCCCTATTTCTTTGCCTTCATGACTTGGAATCAAACAAAAGTTTAGAATCCTTTTGTGCATATTCCAATCATCATCCACAAAAATGAGCAGTTAGCACCATGTAGTTCAAATTTTGCACACTTGTCCATGTATCAGTAGTCAAGCTCACTCTATGATTGTGTATCTCCTTTTTTAACTGATTTTTCATGCTATCATACATATTGAATAACCCCCTCATCATAGTTCTCCGAGATGGAACATGCAATCTAGGCTGGACTTTGCACATCATCCGCCTAAACCCTTCACTCTCCACAATACTAAAAGGTACCTCCTCGAGCACAATAAACTCAATAATACCTTCCTCACTTTCTTCTTGGCTCCACCCTTTAGCAACAAGCATGTTTTTGACATTCCCATCCCCAGAAGGTCCAGAACTGCCTAGAACCTTTTGCAACTCATCAGTTGGTTGATATGACTTGCAATGTTTATTGATATGTTTAATGTAAGTACTAGTTCCACCCCCACTAGTATCACATGCAAAAAAGGAGCTACAATGGTTACACTTAGCCTTCAATACTTGTACCTCCACCTTCTCTTTCTTTCCATCCTTTTCTACTTCTTGCATTTCCGAGACGGTACACTTAGTGAAATGATCCCAAACCCAAGATCTCTCAGAAGAAGATCTCCCTAGTGAAGCTATTATAGTTGGTTGTTTTGTCTTTGGAATAGGTGGTGCTTTTCTTTTTCTAGAGGACGAGGGGTTTGGGGGAGGCATTGATGGTTGTATGGGTTGTGCTTGTGTTGGTTGTGGAGGACATGGTGATGTAGCCGTAGATGATGCTACATTAGTACTGCTAGGGGCACTTTGACTTTGAGATTGAGACATTATGTAAAAATCTGTAAAAATCAAATAATGGAACTATATTCATTAATCAAACAGAAGCAGGCAGCACAACACACAGATTGTTGACCAACAAAAGACCAAAAAGGCTGAGAAGTATCATCATGTTATTAATTTGTGCAGTGTGTGACTGTGCAGTTGCAATCTGTGCAGATTGCAATCTGTGCAGATTGCAATCTGTGCAGATTGCAATCTGTGCAAATCTGTGCAGATTGTGCAGTTTGCAATCTGTGCAGATTGTGCAGATTGCAATCTGTGCAGTTTGCAATCTGTGCAGATTGTGCAGTTTGCAATCGGTGCAGATTGCAATCAGTGCAGTTTGCAATCTGTGCAGTTTGCAATCTGTGCAGATTGTGCAGTTTGCAATCGGTGCAGATTGCAATCGGTGCAGTTTGCAATCTGTGCAGAATTGCAATCTGTGCAAATCAAATAATGGAACTATATTCATTAATCAAATAAAGATATTTTGAAATAATTACTCTCTGGGATGGGAAACAGAAGCAGGCATCACAATTAAACAGAGTGAACACACAACACACAGATTGTTGACCAACAAAAGACCAAAAAGGCTGAGAAGTATCATCATGTTATTAATTTGTGCAGTGTGTGACTGTGCAGTTGCAATCTGTGCAGATTGCAATCTGTGCAAATCTGTGCAGATTGTGCAGTTTGCAATCTGCGCAGATTGTGCAGTTTGCAATCTACAAGACCAAAAATAATAAACAGATTAATAAAGACAAACAAAAGACATCTAGTTGTATGAATATGACAATCAAGTACTTGTACTACGAAAAACAGAACAAAAACAAAAATACAGCAAGCAATACAGAAAATATTTTGAGGAAAAACTCCACCTCCGAAGTCTTCAAGGTTAAGTAGAAGATATCAACAGGTATCTTATGATTCCAGTGCTTGGAGAGACGAAGAACCGCCTTTGCAGAAGCATGCCTCAAATGCGCCTTCTCAACTGAACTGTAAATCACAAAACTTTACATGAAATTTGATGCCTCATATTACAAAAATTGTACACAATCCGCACAGATTTGCAAACTGCACAAATTGTTTGAAAAAAAAAAAATTTGATACCTCGGATAGAAGAATCAAACCAGATACACACTCACTGAGCAACAATCAGCACTATAAGAAATAAAAAACCCAGATAGTTAGAGACACCCATTTCCATATGAAGATTAAACTACACTCCCAGAAGCAAATAATCAAAGCAAGCAAGTTCCCTTGTTTTCATGTATCATTCTCTTCTAGTGATTCTTCAACTTCTCTACATCTCTAACAGTAAAGTAGAAAAATTTGACACCTTCTAAGGTCAAATTCAGTAACCCAGAAGCAGAAACTGATTTAAGCCAAAGTCCAATAACTACTTCCCAAATTAAGAAAAGCCCTTGTCTTTAATCTACTTCCAGGTAAGGACAGCTTGAAGACTACATATATATAGATATATTTACCAAATCAGCAGCTAAACCAAGTTAGCTCTGCAGCTGACACGATCTTGGTGCAATCTGAAACACAGAGATAGCATTCCACAGTTATCATTAACAATGAAATAATCCAAGGGAAAGTGATGCCTAAAAGAAAAATCTAAAAGGGTGCAAGCAAAAAAGTAAAATGGTACCAAACTCAAGTGTAAAAGATGAAATTTTTATACTTACAGAATCAGCAGGAGTTTAAGCAGTGCACAGCTTAAACTACTTCTTCTTGTTAAAAACCACCTGAACCGATGAACAAACAAAGTAAATAATCAATTCAAATTTCAAACAGGAAAGAGCTTCCTAAAAAATCCAAGAGACTAAAACATAAACCTAGTCAAATATGAGTTAAATCAGAAACTTTAAACCTAGTTATACCTAGTTATACTTCATGCCTCTCAAATCAGAAACTTTACATTGTTTGGCACAGTTATACATGAATAAATGCACAGGCACAGCTATAAAATGCAACCATGTTTTCCGAAATAGAGGGTTAAAGTTAAACACAGCCTCTTACAAATCTTATCAACATGCAAATGGAAAATTAACTCTAGTAGTAACCTAGTTCGAAAACCCTAAAATCCCTAATTCCAATTTAAAAACCCTAAAATCCCTACACCCAAAATTCAAATTAACAACAAAACCCTAATTCAAAATTACCTAAATTTTAGAGGGATGATGGCCTGGGTTCTCTGGCGGTCACGACGGTGATGGGGTGATGGAGTCACGACGGCGGGGGTTGCTGTCGAAGAGGAGAGTATCGACTGCAAGGGTGATGGCCTGGGTTCTCTGGGATGTTGTCGATGGCAAGGGTGGTCCCGTTGTATTCGCCGAGGAGAAACGACGGTTGGTGAGGGGATCGGAGTCGAGGGAAGGTCTGAAAGTTTGAGAGAGTGAGAGAGTGAGAGAGTCGGGACTCGGGAGGGAATCGGGATGAGAGAGAGATAGAACTTAGGGTAAAACTAAAACAACGGTTCAGATTAGATATGGTATCTTATTCATCAATCTGGTCCATTCATTTTAATTACAAACGGGCCGGTCCGGGTACCCGCGGTTCCTATACCCAGGAACCGGCCCGGACTGAAATTCACAAAGACCCGCCCCGGCCCGCCCCGTTTCTTTTTTTTAAAAGTAGGAACCGGCCCGTACCCGCCCCGAACCGCCATTACCCGCCCCGACCCGCGGTTCCTGTACCCGTTTGCCCAGCCCTAATTTAAAGAAAGATCTCTAAAGCTTTCCATACCTTAAAATTACATATTATCACGTTTAGGTAGCAAATACTTCTTGTTAAGTAAATATCATTATATTGTAATGATATTTTTAAGTCACCCCCACAATTTTCTCACAATTGTGATTGCGGAAATGAATGAGATCAGTAGAAACATATGAAGCTATTCTAACTTCTTAGGCCTTAAAGCCTCACTAGTCTTTTAAGATAAGCACATCTTTAGACCTTAGCCTCCTCTGCTTATCAATTCAACCGTCATTTTTCTAAGATGAAAGCAATTCATCCATAATGAGTTCAAGCTCAATGGTCTGATTATTCTTTTTCTTATCACAAAATCTTTCTTGCCATGTCCAACCATGATATAACAAACTCATTCGTTGACAAATTTGAACGCACTTCGTTTGGCCGGTATGCAAGTGTGTGTACACTTTCTATGAACTTGCAACTCTGACTAGTTGCAACCTGCATGTATTTAGACAATGTCTCTTATTTTGCAAGATAATTTGAAGACTTAATCTTCCAGTATCTCAAATAAGGACCTGCTTGAAGACTTAATCTTCCAAATTTTGCAAACATGTATGTGTCTAACTTGTATACCACATTCTAGTGCCTATCATTTAATGATAGGAGTGGGTTCGGTTCCATTCCGTTTGGTTTTTAACCCCAAACACACAATTTGGTTGAAGAGGAAATACACTAAAAACCTCCAGGCTCTCATGCCCATTAGATTTTACTAGTGTTGTATTTTTCACATGACCAACAGCCTGGACATATGCAAGCATTATATGCTTCTCAAATATTCTTGCACAAATTCAAGTATTTATGTGTATGAAATGTTCATGTTTATCTTGTCAGCGAAAGCATAATACTGCTTCGCAATGGATACATCCATTCAAATGGAGACCCATGTATGTTCCTCGGTTCACTACCAAACCTCACCAATCATAACTGATTGTGTCGGTTAAAAACACGAAATGCCTTTCATGAAATTGTGTTCCGTAAAAATTAAACACCAAATCCGTAGGCAAATCCAATCAAATGAGCGCCTTAAGGCAAACCCAGGAAAGAAACATGCATGCATACTTGTAAATACATGCAGTGCCCACAAGCATACTTATCAGTTCCTTCCTGTTATCTTTTCGCATGTCGAAGACCAATAACTTGCCTTATCCTTGTCACAACCCACCCTACACAGGATGGCATATATAATTCAAGTAATAAATGAATTAAACACAACGATTGAAGCAGCCATGTATTTCAGAGAAATACATTCATGCAAGGATCCAATTGCATTAGATCCTTCAAACCAAAGACATAACTGAGTATTGACTTACAAACTGCTCATGATGCTCCACAACGGAAGTAATACACAACTCCACATTGTTCTTCGAATATACAGATACGATATAACATATATATGTCATTAAATGATAGCATGATATAAGTCCTCCCCTTGGCCTTATCATCATGGACCCAAACTATAAAGATTCTATAGTTTTATTTATACATACTGGTACGTTTCCACCAATAGACACGAGTCTATGATGAGTCAAAGCCCATGAATAGCCGAACTGTTTGGCAGTCTCTAAATCCACCAAATATAAAACTGATACGTCATTTCTGATCAGTTTGGAACAAGTTCTTAGCCGCATATATATCAATCAAATGCATCAAATTCAAATGAAGTTCCTTCCTTAAAGAGGAACTTATCCCAGGGATGGATATTAATCTGCAATATGAACTACCAAATAAAGCATATTTATGTTTAGTTTTATTTATTCAAAGAGTATGAACAACCATGTCAAAACATATAATCGCAAAACCCCAAATCAGAGTTACAAACATGATTGCATATGAAACACAAGTATTAAACAGACACCATTCATTTATGTCTCTCAGTCTTTCTTTACCAGAATGCATTGACTTATTGCCATAATAACTGCCAATATTTAAAAATGAAAACTAATGAAAAGGGCTTGAAAACTTTGAGTTTTAATTATAAGGACAAAATAAAGGGTAAAGTGAATAGTACCAGGATTGACTTTTTAGTGTAAAAATGTGGTTTTTTGTTAAAGTGAACAGTACCGGGAGTTTTTCGTTAAAGTTCCCTATTTAAAAATCATACTATGCAAAAGGCACGAATCAAGAAAAGGCTAATACTTACCTTCCCCTTTGCTTTTCCCGTAAACTGCATATGCATCTTACAAACACATCATATTTTCTAATTATTCCAAATAAAATTTCTATCTTTAGATTGTTGGAGCAATATTAGAAAATATGAAAAATATAAAAGAATTCCAATGATAATAATCATAAAGAAATTCACAACATCAATTATATATGAGATTAATATAAACAACTAGAGAGAAAGTTAGAATAACTGACAAACTTGGAGATTAAGGCTTGCATAAATGCAATGTCCTAAAGATAGAATTTCGCCCCTACTCTTGTGCTTGTAGTTCGATAGGCGTCCATCTCCCAGGATTCAACAATCTATAATCCGAAGTCAAAGCACTTCAATCTTCGGACTCTGGCAAACTTTATATATTTCGTACTCTCAAGACACGACTCGAAATTTGACACACGAATCATTTGAGAAACAAAGTGGGGAAACCCTATTTCTCAAGACTAAAAATTAACTCTAATTTTCTATATGTAATACCAATGATTTCATGGGTTTATATAGAATCCAACTTCTACTTATTAAAGAGATGTAACTTTTCATCTATAAGCATACATCACTTATAAAGGGAATATCACTTAAACAACATAACTTTTCTAAGAAATTGATTAACACTATTTTTCATTCAATTATTAAAATTATATATTACAATATTTCAAATTATAATATATAATTTTCAACGGCCAGAGCATAGGCAATTTCTTCAATTTGTTAAAGATCCGAAGCCGCTATAGAATCGCCCTTTGTGATATTCCTTAACAAGAAAGGAGTTCATGTATGTGAGATTGAGAAGGCGTTGCGAGTCTGGTTTCCAGTTTAGAACAGAGTTCTTGAGCACAGGCAACTCCAACAGTGTAGGAAATTAGAGAATCAAAGAGTGAAGAGTTTATCCAGATCTGAATATTATAATCGTTCTCAAACCAAGCCACAAGTTGAAGATTCAGAGTCAAAGTACGATTTCCAGAAGAATCAATAAGATACTTATGCGTCGCCACCATAGATCCATCAATTATTTAGGTGAGGTTATACCGGCGAAATATTGAAGCGAATAAAGCACTCCTGTAAGATAATTCATGGTTGTGAGCTTAATTGGAACCATGGATCCAAAGTTTTGAATTGTGATTGAAGAAGTGAATGAATTAGGGCACGAATTTGGGGGTGGAATAATTGGAGTTCAAGTTGCAAATGCAATTTAGGCCAAGTAGAAGACGGTGGCGGGAGAAGAACTTGCACAAAAGCCAGAGAAGAAAACAAGGTTCGAGATGACGAGAAAGAAAACTGTGCAAAGGATAAGGTTCTATTTTGGAAATTAGGTTACCCACGGGATTATTTAATTTTTAATTAAAAAATAATAATCAAACTGCCTAACTGCCGCTTAGATCGTGTAGGTCTCCACCGATTTTTCTAAATGATTTTCCCTAAATTGCATTGGGTCTCCACTGTCTAAGGCGATTTTTAGAACACTACATAAGAGCATCTTCAATGCAATGACTCAAATATAATAATTTGAGTTCAAATATAAGGCAAAACATCTTCAATCTACATGAGTACCTAAAATTCATATTTGGGTTTTGAGGCAAAGTAGGACTCTAGTTTGTGTTTCGTTATGAGATTTGGGTCCTTAGTGAAGCCCATGCCAATGAATTTTTATTCAACCAAAAAAAATAGAATTTGAGTTTTGACTCCAACCATCTTATGTACATACCCAAACTATCAAAATTCAAAATTTGAGCTTGTCTATTGATTTCTCCTCCGATGCAAAGATTCAAACCTTAAAATTCAAAATGAGTTTTAAAATTTGAATCTTTGCATTGGAAAAGAAAACCAAAATACATAATCTATTACCATTTTGGGACCCAAATATAAGAATTTAGGTTTAGAAATGTTTTTTGGGGCAAGTCTGCATCCTAGATGCTCTAAGATCATTATTCTTATCTTTCGAATATCCAACGTTCCAATTACTATTATTGTTTCTACTCAGCTGGGCTTTGATGCACGTGTTGGAGAATAAGTAGTACGGACTGTGAGAAGTACTAGCTATAGTCTGAAGGCATACATTTTAAGGGTTCGAATTAGCTGTGCCTTTTGGCTTATACGGCTCAGTTTGCTTTGCATGGCTTAATCCCTTTTTACCAGCTATATATAGGTATTGCTTGCCGTGTGCTTTTAGCTTCTGCACAAGCAAGAATACCCGCGCTTCGCTGCGGGCTTTATAAACGTTAAAATTTATAAATGATAGCTGGAAACATTGAGAATAGTTTTGTTCATTACTTAAACAGTAGAATATGTACAGGGAAGATTTGCATTGACTCCACATTAAGAACTTATGTACAATAAAAAAGGCCTACACTCAATTTGACGATTGAGCTTAAAATCCTAAATACAAAAGCAGCAAGGAAAATGAACGGAAAACAAACATTAACGACCAAAAAAGCATTGATGTCCGTTAAAGTAAAAAAGCTTAGGCGTTCACCAGTAACCCAACTTGAACAGCGTTGTATCAAGCCTTTCCTCTTGTGGTCTAAAGTCACTATTAATAAAGCCTCCTGTAAAGACAAAATTTAGAAGTCATCTATTTGAGTAAAAGATGCAAACCTTCCTCCTTTTGACATGAAGAATAGCAGAGTCTGTAACATAACCTTTCTGAAAACTATAGTGCACGTTTCCCAACAAAATTTGCAATACTCTTCCAGCTCATTCTGCAAACCAGTGGGGACTAATGATAGAAGCGTACCATGGTAAATACATCTAAAAAAATAGTTCGAACTAAATTTTCTTGCAAAGTAGTGTTAGTACTGTCATCTTGGCCTTTTTTGGACCCAATAGACAAATCTTTTTTTTTTCTATATTTTTTAACAGATGAAAATCATTTTTAGAAATTGGATGCGGAAAAACACAGAATTCACAATGTTTGCGAGTAACACGATGATAATAGAAATTAATAAGACATAACAAAAGGTGTGAAATATTCATGGAAATTGCGAAATTAGAAGAAATTTGTAAATGTTACTTGAGTGTTTCGTAGTCGTTGGAGTAGCGTTCAAGCACATCAAACCAAGTCTCTCTAGCACTTGCAATAGATCTATTGAAACGGTCCTAATCAGTCAAAACTTAAAAAAAAATTAATCAAAATTATCAATTATGGTTAAGTTTACTTGACTCCATGGAGTTCATGTTTAATTGTAGGACCAGATGCATCCATTTCATTCAAATCAAGAAATACAATGCAATCAAATTAATAACAAAATACCTGAATTCGAAGACAAAGCCAGGAAACTTCAAAATCTTCAAGTCTTAAATAGATTGGAGCATAGCCCTACTTTTTGCAACAAAACAACCATTTTTTCAGAAAATTACAGGAAGATAAATAAAATTGGAAACCAAATTACTTCAATTGATTAGGGAATCTGCAAATTGCTACCACTCGATAATTTTGCAGAAGGTACAATTATGTTTCATTTTCCTGCAACAACAGCAAGTACAATTCTGTTTCAGTTCTCTATACTAACCCCAACCCACTTCTTCAATTCCTTCTTATTTGTCTATCTTAAACAAAAGGAACCTCATGACATTTAATCCTTAATTATCAATTATACCAAAGTATTTTCGAAATACATAAACAACGAAATTCAATTGATGAACTCAACAAATGGCCCTTCAACACATCGTTACAGAATCACAACGTACCTTCCAAATTGGACAAAATGCAATAAGAAAGAATTGCAATGTTTTGAGACCTCTTCGGATCAAGCACACACCTAATCCATAAATTTTCCTTAGAAAAACATTTTTCAAAACCCCTGAAATTTTCATCAGCAGGCATGAATATCTTTTGGTAAGCTGTTCTCAGGCTTCTGATCTAAATCCTTGGCCAAAGGAATAGAAGCTCTTTTAGACATGCAATTAAATACAATGAAATTTAAAATGTTTACTATTAAGATGAAACATTGATTAATGAATACCTCTGCAATTAGAATGAGAATGATATCAGATTTAGGAATTCTATTTTTAGCACATAACGTTATATTGAGAAAAGAATTGTGAATTCTGTAAAGTCATATTTGAAGGGAAGTAGGTAAACTAAAACTAAAACTAAAACATTGTAAGGAAATAAGAATTATTACATGCTAAAAAATCCCAGTTGTCAGTTCCTTCTTGTTCACTTCGTGAGATTATCCAATTAAAACAAACAAAAGATAAATTAAAGGAGAAAATCAAGGGAGATAAATTAATTACATTCTTCATTGACCTAATATTGAGCAGCACAACAGTGACAGTAAAGTAAAAAGTGGCTTACAGAGGAATGGGAAGAAGGGATTCTCCAATCCAAAATAAACACAAAGACAAAGGCCACAACTTTATCTCAGTAATTAACTCCACCACCAATAAAATTTCCAAAAAAATGAAGTGATTCAGTAATTCGAAGCAGAGAATGGTAAAAAGCAAGAAAATTTGGAGGCAACCTGAATCCAAATCGACCTTGTTATGCGCAAACTGAACAACTCCATCCATCAACCGAGCTATGAGGCAAAAGGGTGCTAAACGGGTTTAAAATATAAAACAAACTAGCCAAAAACACTCGAAAATACCGTAAAAATTAAGCATCAACTTACCTATGATTCACTTTACATCGTAACAGAGGTGTCCGACTCGGCGACGTTCGACCTGAATCAAGTCGCCAGACTTTGGCGACTGAAACCCTAACATTTAATACTTGAAAAGGTCTTTATGGTTCTGCATAGAGAAGATCAAATAAAACTCCTGATTACCTGTTGTTGGAAACAAATAATAAACATACAGGGAATTTTATAGAAAATTAGGATTAGATTTTAACGGTTCTCACCCAAATTCAACCCAACCTCAACGATTCCAGTTCGTATAACCTCAACTTAGCATCACACAGAAGAATGTTAAACATGCAACATGGAAACGAACCAATCCCCTAAACTTTTGAAATTGGGGATGATTTGAATATAAAACCTAGAAGGTTTTAGAAAACGATTGAAGCCCGTAATTTAACGCGGCAGTGGCCCCTAGTGGTCGCGGTGGTTCCGCTGCAAGAGAGAGTAATTGAAATATGTAGAACGAAAAACCATAGAAACGACAGAAAGAAAAACTCAAAATTTTTAGTAAAATAAAGAACAAAAATCACTAATCACACAACCAAAATTAATAGAAATAAAAAATCAGTATGCACGAAAGACCAAAATAATCTTTGAGGGGGAGGAAATTGATGAAACATCAAACCTTGAGAACTTGATTTTCTGGGCAGCGAGTGGAAGAGCAGAAACGGGCCTGAAGGGAGTGAGTTCGGTTGGATTCTAGGGCTTGATAGGTGTGCATGCAATCGAAATCGTTGATGGGGAGAAAATTGATTTCGTGCAAGAGATTTTTTGTTCGAATCAAGTCGAGCAGGAAGGAAGAGAAAACTGAGTTTTTCACTTTAGGTTGCTAATCATGATTTTTAGCAAGATAAGGGGGGAGAGAGAGAGAGAGATAGGAGAGAGAGAGAGAGAGAGATAGAGAAACAGAGAACTGGAGATCGGAGAGCCATCAGTGCACGAAGAGCTTTTGTGAGGCAGAGATCGAAATCGAAATAAAAAAAAGGAAGGCTCGAGAACTTCTGGAACCATGCAACGCGTCGACATCTCATAGAATCAAAGGACGCATGGATATCAGCGGCATACATGAAATAACATAAAATCAAGAAGGGCAAAGTCGGAAGAATACTGTGCTTTATGAACAGTGTTTCAGTTGTTTTTCTCTTTTAGTTTTAGTATATACAAACAAAGAAACCCGCGCTCTGCTGTGGGTTTAAAACTGTAACCACAATTTAGCACACCCATTTTAAGTAATGGGACTAATTAACCTTTCTAACAATGATTAGCAACTAAAACTGATCTACAAATTAATAAAAAGAAAAGACCAAGTAAAAAACTGAACACTATTAGCATATTCATATGTGTACATAATTGCAGGTCTATAAATTTTATCATGAGTTCAGGTGTAAACAACTTGATTGTGCTCATGTAAAAAAAATTTAACTCGTTATAATTATTGATTCATGTAATAAATGAGTCGATAGATCCATAAACAATATGGAAACCAAATACACATTGAACACTCTATACCTCCCATGTACAAACAAATTAAAGGGGTCATATTGCAGAACAGAAGTATACCTCCTGCAGCAAGCTTAAGCTTCGCCTCCAGTGGAGCAACGATGGATTCAATGGGTAGCATTTCATCATCTTTCTGTGCAGCATGAACTCTTCAAAGTCTGCCTTCTGCTGCAATATCTTGATATAAAACAAAACCCCCATAATCAGATTAATTAAGGTTTTTTCTTCATAGTTTCATGTACTTCAAAAGATATATGATGTAAATTATACTTGAGTATTGTCATTGTGTATAAAAAACTAAACGGATATGTCACATTCAAATTTAAGTAAGCTGATTACCAAAATACTTTAAACGGTTCTTCAAATTATCATTGTCGTATATCATGACTATGCTGACATATCACTCTTTTTTCCAAAAATACCTGCAGAAATTTCAAAGAACCTTCAAAAGAAATTGTTTCAGAACAGGTTTCATCTCAACAGACTCTATAAAAATCAATGATTTATAAAGACTGTTAAGTGTATATAAAGTAAAATAGGTGGAAACCTTTACCGGATAAACTATCTGCTCAAATATGCTCAAATATTCTGTACGTTTGATCAAGGTTCACATTCATGAGAGTCATTTGGAGAGCAAGACTAACAGCACCTTAGATGACCATCCGACCTCTGGACTTGGGGCTGGTTTGGTATTGCTGTGCTTTGAAAAAAAACTGCTGTGAGAATAAGCGGCTGTGCTGTGAGAATAAGCGGCTGTGAAATAAATCAGCAGAGTGTTTGGTAAACTTTTTTGTAAAAGTGCTTTTGGAAAGAAAAAAAGCAGTCTAATAGTGGGTCTTTTCATTAAAGAAGCACTGTAGCTCCGTGTGCTTTGAAAAAAAACCAGTTTTCCAAAGCTGCAAATAGCAGCTTCAGCTTTTTCCTTTGATTTCAGCTTATTCTCACAGCAGCTTCCAAAATAAGCCCTTTTTTTCAGTTTACCAAACACATAAAACCCTCACAGCTTTTTTTCATGGGTGCTTTTTTTTTAAGCACCTCACTCCCAAACTAGGTCTTGGTAGTCCCATCTCGGCGTTCCAAAAGTTATGAAAAAAAATCAATACCAATTCAAATTCATATGCCAAAATTATCAAATAATGTTTCAATTAGCTTAATTTCTATGACCTCCTCAACATTTTGGAAAGGCAATCCAAAGCTGCCCCTTTGAGAGATTGAGTGACCATTTTCTGGCAGCTCAACAACCAATACTTCTCAAAGATGGTCCTAAAACAAAGCTTCACCTGCATCACTTAACCCATGATCTATACACCCAAAATCAAACAATCAGATTTACATACAAAAACTTAATATGTGCTTACGCCCCTCCTCTTTGACTTTGAACTCCCCTGCATATTTTTAAAAAATTACAGATTAAATTAAATAAAAACAATTCAATAAAATTAATCACAAATTTCATTTGAGTAATCTTCAAAATCGAGAGATTGTATGCAGGTGAGTTATGGACAATTTACTATGGCTCAGCCAAGTAAGGACCAATTTTAAAAAGTAACATGAAGTCAATGTGTACTGAAAAGAAGAAAATGAAAAATAGATAGTAATATTATCACAAAAACAGTAGCAAGAGACCTTAATTAATTAAGATGGCTTATTTTAGTGAGCAAAGAAAAGCTAACAATTAACAAATCATGGATTTATTTGAGAAAAAAAAACACAGGATAAAATAAATTATTTCTTTCCAAAAGAGTATAAAAATACTACCAAAGATTCAAAAATATCAGTTAACACAAACAAACAGCAACAAAAGGCATTAGACATAAGGTAAAGTACCAAATACTTGATCAAAGAAAAAAGAATCATTTACCTATACGGCTCTAACCATGTGAGAGGGGAACTTCCTCCTTCACATTTAAATGGTGTATTGAAGACCAAACATGTTTCTTTCCAAAGAGAAGTGCCTGATGAAGATTAAAAATATATATATATAATTCAGGTTGCATCAAAAGAAGTAACAAAGTGGATAAGAATGGCAAAGCATGAAAATTGAACACGATGAATTACTGACATGAATAAATTTTCTATCATCAACCCTACATCTAATTTGACATAGTACAACAATTAACCATTTAAAAGAGTTGCGTAAAACATTATTGATTTTCTGAATTTGGTAGACATACACTATCTCTTTGCTTCAGTAGTTGAAAAGAGAAATGGAGAAATCATGAAAGTGTATATAAAAAGTTGAACCTTATGGGAGACGAAGAAATAACTCTATAGCTAGCAAACTATTAGAAATCCTGTTTACAAATTTACTCACGTTATCAACAATGCTAGCCATTGCCTCCTCTCTCCTTTTGCGTTGGGATGTATAAGTTTGTTTTCAATAAAACCCTGTAAGAAAGGGAAAGTAGAGGAAAGTTTAATGATATAAACAATAGAACAGATCGCATAAGTTCCCTAAACTGCACAAAATGTAACTATTAGTAATAATAACCAATGTAGTTTGAGAGAAGGCTAAGCTTAATACTAATCAATTTAGCTTCAAATTATTTTATTTTCAGTCTTCAAATTAAGACTAAAGATTTAACACCCTACAATATAGTTTCAATTGTTAAAGATAGTAGATTGAGGTTCTTTGAATCATGTTGGTATTGGTTTTTGGTCTTACAATATAGCAATCCAAAATTAAGACAAATTTGAAAGAATTGAGCCTTATTTGGTCTTACTCATCACATGCTGCTTCCCCATTCAATACAAAAGTAAAATAAGTGAGAGGTTAGTTGGAAGATTAGTTGGAAGAAAATAATAATTAAAATCTTGTTAACGGGCTCTCCTCAATTATGTCTTATCCATCTAATATTTCAGTAACACTCTCTTAGTACTTAATTACTGAATTTGCTAGTCTAGCCTATTACGTAGTCCGAATTTTAATCAATCTTTACCATCTCATTGATTAGAGTTGGTCTTGAAGTCAATTTACATTGTTCACCTCTCAGACAACACTATAATCGATTATTAAAGAAAATTTTCTAAATGACCAAAAAAAATATCCGTCATTAGATTTGATATCAAATTTATAGTCAGTTATCGGGACACTATTATTTACCCTCTATCTATTAGTAGCTAAATATTCTCACCAGAGTGTTACGGTGTTATACAAATACAAATTACAATACATCTCAAGAAACTCAATAGAAACTTACTCTGCAACCAACAATGTCTTCGCCACCACGGTCACTGCCTCCTGCTACCTCTCCTGTTACCACTGCACCTCAATTACCATCGTCATTTCCTCCACTTCTGCAGCCACTGTTGCCGTCAGCAGGCTGTTAAGCATATCAATATTTGCATAAGATGAACCAACATTTGAAAAGTATAAGCAGATGAACCAACACAGAGAGAAAACTCCTAAATTTACAGCAAGATGAAAGCTTAACGAAAAAAAAATTTGGGTAAAAAATACCTAAATTTACAGAGATATGCAAAAATAGGGTGCAAACATAATGTGCCTCGTTTTTAATGTGGGTCAGTGAGGGTAAGAGAGAGTTCCCTTGATGTTCTCACTCTCAGTACGACCTTGCTTGACAGAGATATGACCTTACTACCAAAATGGAAAGAAGCCAAAACATCATTGGTAATTACATTGGATATATGCAACCTGCTATGGGAACCATGTGGATCCCTGAACATTGCATGCATATGAAGATACCAAGATTCACGCTAGCTAATCGTGGAGCTCTGCACCAAAAAATGGAAACACTACAACAATTTATAAAAAAACTTGTTTGACAAATATGTTTGAGGTTACCCACACATACAACAACAACAACAACAACAAAGCCTTTTCCCACTAAGTGGGGTCGGCTATATAAATCCTAGAACGCCATTGCGCTCGGTTTGGTGTCATGTCCTCCGTCAGATCCAAGTACTCTAAGTCTTTTCTTAGGGTCTCTTCCAAAGTTTTCCTAGGTCTTCCTCTACCCCTTCGGCCCTGAACCTCTGTCCCGTAGTCACATCTTCGAACCGGAGCATCAGTAGGCCTTCTTTGCACATGTCCAAACCACCGTAACCGAGTTTCTCTCCTCTTTCCTTCAATTTTGGCTACTCCTACTTTACCTCGGATATCCTTATTCCTAATCTTATCCTTTCTCATGTGCCCACACATCTAACGAAGCATCCTCATCTCCACTACACCTACGTGTTGATGCTTCACCGCCCAACATTCTGTGCCATACAGCATCGCCGGCCTTATTCTCGTCCTATAAAATTTTCCCTTGAGCTTCAGTGGCCTACGACAGTCACACAACACGCCGGATGCACTCTTCCACTTCATCCATCCAGCTTGTATTCTATGGGTGAGATCTTCATCAAATTCTCCGTTCTTTTGCAAGATAGATCCTAGGTAGCGAAAACGGTCGCTCTTTGGTATTTCCTGATCTCCGATCCTCATCCCTAACTCATTTTGGCCTCCATTTGCACTGAACTTGCACTCCATATATTCTGTCTTTGATCGGCTTAGGCGAAGACCTTTAGATTCCAACACTTCTCTCCAAAGGTTAAGCTTCGCGTTTACCCCTTCCTGCGTTTCATCTATCAACACTATATCGTTTGCGAAAAGCATACACCAAAGAATATCATCTTAAATATTAAGTTTGTGATCTTCACTAGATTGCTCCGGTCATTAGTGTGGATAAGTATGTAAATGGATAGAGACAGGAAGCAAACACAAGATGTACGTGGTTTACCCAGATTGGCTACGTCCACGAAGTAAATGAGTTCTCATTAATTGTGAAGGGTTTACACAGTACATAGGTTCAAGCTCTCCTTTAGTGAGTACAAGTGAATGATTTAGTACAAATGACATTAGGAAATATTATGGGAGAATGATCTCGTAATCACGAAACTTTTAAGTACCGAAGTGTGGTATCGTCTTCACTTGCCTTATCTGTCTCATAGGTAGATGTGGCATCTTCTTTGGAAGTACTATTCCTCCCTCCAGGGGTGGTATCTTTAACTGGTGGAGATGTACAAGGTAATGTATCAATTTCACTTGACGCTTACTTGTAGTTTCAGGCTTGATCAAGCACGATACAAACCATGTAGTAGGAGTCCCCCAAGTCGCCGAGCTAGGGGATCTGCTGAAAGAGGTGACAGACAAGGTAAGCAATCAGAGCTCCAAGCAATCAGTCCCATATCAGAAGTTTGATTTCGAGTTCCGGCTAATTGTTATCCTTCTCCTTATCTTGCAGGCAGCATGAAGGATAAAGAGAAGAAAAGGAGAAAAGGTGATATGAGATACTTTTGCTTTTGAAGAAGTAACTTTCCACAGGCTTATTCTTGAACTGGGCTGGAGGGTTTTCTGGTTTCCGCCAGAGTATAAGGCCGACTGAAGAATTTGAGGGTCAAAACAAGTCCATCAAATCTAGAGTACGTTCGACCCTGCTGATATGGGATACTTTTGCTGTTGACAAAGTAGTGGATGTAACGGCACGTGTTCTGTTGCGCTTGTCTCCATATGCTTCCTTATATCCTTCTCACTTACCCTATTTGTTCCTCAGGCAGATGTGGTATCTTCTCGGGGAGCATAAGATGTTGAAGATGAGTACTCGAGAGCAATGCCAGGTAAGTAATCAGGTAAGGGGTTCCAGGCAGTCAGTTCCGAACTGGAAGCTTGATTCCAAGTGCTGACCGATTGCTTTCTTTCTCCTTGTCTTGCAGGTAAGAACAAGGCCAAAGGAAAAGACAGGGAAAAAACATGATATGGGATACTTTTGCTTTTAATCCTGATGATATGAGATATTCTTGCTCTAGTGTAGCTTGTTTGCAGAGGTATTCTCGGGGGAAAAGAAAGCTGAGTATTTCGAGAGGCTTCGTTGGGAGTGCCCTCTCAGATATGAGGAAGGGTTGAGCATTTTTGCAGGTCTGCCTGTCCGTTGAGGATGGAGGTCGACATATATAGGAGTCTCCCTAACAACAAGGAGTAATGTTATTCTTTTACCCTGCTTGGTCATAGCACGGTAGTCGGAGCTGCCAGCTTCACGTGTTTTAACTCTGTTAGAGCACTTTGAAAAAGTGGTCTGTGGTATCTGGAAAGCTGATGTTACGTGTGAAGATTACAAACAAGCTTTATCCAAGGAGATCTGGCTCTCGAAGTTGAGAAAATGGTGTGAGGATTACAAACAAGCTTTATCTAAGGGGCTCTTGAAGTTGAGAAAGCGGTGCCTCTTCGGTTTTCGAACAAGCAATCCTGTCGAGGATCTGTCTCTCGAGATTCGGAGAACGGTGCCTCTTCGATTTTTGAGAAAGCAATCCTGCTAGGAGTCTGGCTCTCGAGATTCGGAGAGCGGTGTCTCGTTGTTTTTTGAGAAAGTAATCATGTTGGGAGTCTGGCTCTCGAGATTCGGAGGACGGTGCCTCTTCGATCTTGAAGCAAGCAATCTTGTTGGGAGTGTATTCTCGAATGTGAGTAAAGGTTAGGCCTGTTTGCTAGTCTACCTTGCCACGGAGCACAGAGGTTGACACACAGGGACTTTCCAATTATCCAGCAGTGGTCCTGTTCCTTTACCCTTGTGGGTAATAATATGGTAGCTAGACCTTCAAAATTTATGTGTCTAAACTTTGTTAGTGATGTTTCTTTGCTATTCTTTTACCCTTCTTGGTCATAGCGATGTAATGGGAGCTGCAAGCTTCACGTGTCTAAACTTTGTCAGAGATTTTTGGCAAAGTTATTTGTGGTACCCGTGAGCTAATGTTGCGTGTGGAAAGTGGATGATTGAACAATAACATTCACGTGCTTTCTACTTCACCAGAAATCTTCGACAGAATGCCCGTAATTTCGCAAAGTTGAGTGTGCATGTGACAGGTGCTGACAAGGTTGAAAAAGCAGGTGCCTCTTCGATTTCTGAGATCGGCCCTCGTGGTCTCTGAGCAGCCCAGCTTTTGAGAAAGCAAGCGCCTCTTCGATTTCTACGATCGACCTTCGTGGTCTTTGAGCAGCCCAACCTTTGGGAAAGCAAACGCCTCTTCGATTCCTGAGATCGGCCTTCGTGGTCTTTGAGTAGCCCAGTTTTTGAGAAAGCAAACCCTTTTCGATTTCTGAGCAGGCGCCTCTTCGATTTCTGAAGCTCCATCGAGTGCAGATTTTTATAGAGGCTGGTATTAAGTTCCAAAGCACACTTGAATCTCCACCAGTAGAAGCTCCCTTCTTACATTTCTAAGATCTTGATTTGTCCGACCTTTTCTCTCTTCAACACCTTTGAAAATGTCTGTCCCCTCCGACCGTCGTTTTGACTTGAACCTTGTTGAAGAGGCAGCCACGCCTTCTCCAGACAACATATGGCGCCCATCCTTCTTATCCCCTACTGGTCCTCTTACCGTTGGGGATTCCGTGATGAAGAATGATATGACCGCTGCGGTGGTGGCCATGAACCTTCTCATTCCCAAAGATAATAGACTACTTTCCAAACGGTCTGATGAGTTGGCTGTTAAGGATTCTCTAGCTCTCAGTGTTCAGTGTGCAGGTTCTGTGTCTAATATGGCCCAACGCCTATTTGCTCGAACCTGCCAAGTTGAATCATTGGCGGCTGAAGTGATGAGTCTCAAACAGGAGATTAGAGGGCTCAAGCATAAGAATAAATAGTTGCACCGGCTCGCACATGACTATGCTACAAACATGAAGAGGAAGCTTGACCAGATGAAGGAATCTGATGGTCAGATTTTACATGATCATCAAAGGTTTGTGGGTTTGTTCCAAAGGCATTTATTGCCTTCGTCTTCTGGAGCTGTACCACATAATGAAGCTCCAAATGATCAACCTCCGATGCCTCCTCCTTCTAGGGTGCTGTCTAGTACTGAGGCTCCGAATGATCCCCCTCCGGTGCCTTCTCTTTCTGGGGCTCTACCGACTGCTGAGACTTCTCCTAAGCAACCTTTGTGAAGGCTTCCTCTTGTTTGTTTATTTTGACTCATGTATATGTACATATTTGTAACTTATTGGAGATATCAATAAATAAGCTTTGTTTCATTTCAACGTATTGTGTTAAATACACCAAAGTCTTCTTCACTAAGTTCTTTGAATTTTTCTTTTGTTGAAGCTTGTATGTTGAAGCTTTGTGAGTGGAGCATGTAGGTTGAGGTAGTGTTCCCTTAATTTCCCGAGTGGGGAAAACTTCTAGATTGGAGACTTGAAAAATCCAAGTCACTGAGTGGGGTCGGCTATATGAATCTTAGAACGCCATTGTGCTCGATCCTGTGTCATGTCCTCCATTAAATCCAAGTACTCTAAGTCTTTTCTTAGAGTCTCTTCCAAAGTTTTCCTAGGTCTTCCTCTACCCCTTCGGCCCTGAACCTCTGTCCCGTAGTCGCATCTTCTAACAGGAGCGTCAGTAGGCCTTCTTTGCACATGTCCAAACCACCGTAACCGATTTTCTCTCAGCTTTCCTTCAATTTTGGCTACTCCTACTTTACCTCGGAT